CGCTCCTCCGATGAGCGCGGTTGGCTACGTGCGGTGCGAAAGAAGTCCAACGTAGTACGTATGTACTCGATGGTGAACTTACTTCACTGCTGCCGCCTCCTGGGGCACAGGACGATCCCGAGTCAACGAGGACCGGTGGCAGCCGTGGTGGAGGTGGTGGTAGTGGTGGCGATGATGTGGTGGCGATGATGGCGGTGGCGATGATGGCGGTGGCGATGATGTGGTGGCGATGATGGTGGTGATGATGGTGGTGGCGGTGATGGTGGGGCGGGTGGTGATGATGTGGTGGTGGTGATGATGTGGTGGCGGTGGTGATGGTGGTGGCGGTGGTGATGATGGTGGCGGCGATGATGGTGGTGGTGGCGATGATGTGGTGGGCGATGATTGTGGTAGTGCGATGATGGTGGTGGCGATGATGGTGGTGGTGGTGATGATGGTGGTGGTGGCAATGATGGTGGTAGCGGTGATGGTGGTGATGGTGATGATGGTGATGATGGTGGTGTGGCGATGAGTGGTGGGTAGTGGTAATGGTGGTGGCGCTGATGGTGGTATGTGTGATGGTGGTGGTGTCGATGATTGTGGTATTGGTGATGGTGGGTGGCAATGATGGTGGTGGGGGAGTGGTGGGTGCAGTGGCCAGCGCGCCGCGCTACGAACCCGGCGACCCCAGTTCGATTCCCGCTCACGCCACCAACACCACGTGACGATTACCTAACCGGGCCTTGGGCCTCCCCTAGGTCGACTCGGCCTCAAATGAGCACCTGGTGCGATGTGTAAACATCGCCGCTCGGGAGACAAAGGCGGCCGTGCGTGGTATTGGCCACCCATCCCCTCGCGTGCTGTCCCCGCCTTCATAGTCCGCTCACGAAACAGCAGCTTGGCCCTAACAGTCCGTTAAGGCTACAACGGGGGTTCTTTGTTATTTTGTTATTCATGGCGGTGGCAGCGGTGGCTTGATGGTGTGCGAGACATCTTTCAAATTCGCATCCCTTCAAGTTCATTCACGACCGGCCCATCACGTAAGGGGCCGTCCATAATGACGTCAACGCGATTTTTGGACGATTTTTGACCCCCCCCCCCCTTCGTCACACGGCGTCACAAAAAGTCAGACCCCCCCCCTCAAATATGACGTCACAAAGCTCTGCCCCCCCCCTCGCCCCAAAAAATAAAGCATGCTTCAAATCGCTTTAAACTATTGTCATTGTAGTGCGTATTTAATGTGGCCCTGCACTCTGATGTTGTAGGAGAAAACTTTTATTAAGAAGTCTATTTAATTAAGTAGAACGTGTTGTCTGTATTTATTTAAAGTTGTGCATTTTGATGCGACGTCACATTTCTCGTCACAAATGTCTGACCCCCCCCCCCCCTACGTGCGTGACGTTATTTATGGACGGCCCTAATAGAATAGGCCAACGTTTGCAGCCGCCGCGAGAATAAGAGGGCGTCTCTGTCGCGAGGAGCTAATCTTGTCTTCCACGAGTTTAGTATTCCAGGGCTCCGCACGATTTGGCCGCAAAGCGAATGGCTTCGCTTCCTCACAATCAACTGTTGACACTGCCCGTGGCGGGGACCTCTCCGAGCGGATTAGAGCGCAAATAAACGTTTAACGTCATAGCAGTGCCGGTCTTAGATGTAGCACGTGTGTGTAGGGGGAGCGGTGGTGCAGCGGTTAGCGCCCTGCACTACGAACCTGGCGATCCGGGCTCGTTTGCCGCTCACGGCCAATACCCAGTGACGATTATTTGAACCGGTCCTGGGCCTCCCCTAGGTCGACTAAGCCTAAAACAAATACCGGTGTGTAGACATCGCCACTCGGGAGACAAAGGCGGCCGGGCGTGGTGTTGGCCACCCACCCCCTCGTGTGCCGTGCCGGCCTTCGTAAGTGCTCGCTAACAGCACTTGCCCCAACAGTCTGTTAAGGCTATACGGGGGACCTTTGTCTTTGTGGTGACTAAGAGAGGCACAATTTCCCCGTGTAGCCTCCACGGGCCGGTGGGGCAAGTGCTGTTATCAGCAGGCACCTAGGAAGGCCGGTGCTGCGTGCCCGGACTGCTGTGTCCGTCACCCCGCGTGCGTTCACAACACAGCGCCGGGTTCTCATTTTAGCCCGAGTCGACCTAGGGGAGGACCCAGGGCCGGGTTGAGGTCATCGCCACCGAAGTGGGACACTGGGTTTTCATTTGAGGCAGAGTTCGACCTCGGGGCAGGACCCAGGGTTGGCTGCGTTGGCTATGTACGGCGCGAAAGAAGTCCAACGTCCTTACCATACGCAAGATAATAACCACCGACGATTTGGGAACGGAACACACGGGTTGTCGGGTTCATAGCGCAGCGTGCTAACCACTGCGCCACCGCTCCCCCCCGCCGCCCCGTACCATCAACAGAATCACCACCACAACCACTGCCAGCAGCACCGCAACAACCACGAGCACCGCAGAAACAACAACAACCACCACCACCACTGAGCGCCACTCACGACAAGAGGCACGGTAGAGTTTCCACAATGGGGGTGGAGAGGGGCGAGGGGCGGGGTTATTGATTCATTGAGCGATGCGGATCGATGGGTGATAGGGGGAGGAGGGTGGCGGTGTTCGCCACACTGGGTAACAGCACCCCCCGCATCGATTGACGTGACCGCCCTCCCTGCTTCCTCCACCCCAATGAAGAGCCCTGGGGGCAATTGCAGGGCTGCGCCTTCACTCCACCCGCAGCTGTTGAGTTGTAGGGTGGGGGTGGGTAGTGTGGGGGGGGGCACGAATTTAGCGATTGGTGGGTTCCGTCTGTGGGCGGGGCTAGAGTCGTGACGTAGTCAAACGACAAGCCCTCGCTCCTCCCCAACCGCTGATTGGCTGGCAAGCTCAGAGGAGAATTCCTCCCGAGAATTCCGCCTGGTGATGCTGGTTGTAATTACTGGCGAAACGTCGGACTCGAATTGTAAATGTTGTGGGTTTTTCTCCAACACACAACCGGTGTTGCTGTACCAGTACGTTGCAAACCTTACTAATTGGCTGTGTCGGGTGGCGGCGGGTTTAACGACACATTCATATATTCACGCGATCTCACCCAAAACACCTCTATTATTGGTATAGTGTATGCATATGTTGAACTTCTTTTGCACCGTACGTAGCCCAACCGCGATAATCGGACGCTGCCAGCCCATTGCCTCCTGCACGCCGGAGCCAGGTGGAGCGTTGCAGGGCTCAAGCGTGAGGGATGGCGGAGACTTGGGTCGTTAGGTCTTCATCCAGCAGTGGATTGATCAAGGCCGATGTTGATGACCATCACCATGACGACGATGATTGTACATGAATCAGGAGCAGTTGACAATCCTGTACATCGCCCACCGGTGGAATACTCACGGCCAATTGGGCCAATTTGTACTCAGGCAATTGCCTGAATATGGCTGATCGGTACCTCTCAGGGTGGCAAATGCTAACAAGGTTTTTTTCGAAGCGCGCACTTCTAAATCACATCTGTGCGTGATAGCAAAGTGCCCACGGTAGCTTCACTGAAAGGTACCGAAGTACCCATTCAACGACCTTTTTTCCGTGCTGCTGCAATATCCACAGCACGTGGAGAATAAACAGCGAGCGACGTGTCTCTAAAACCGACGCTCGATACCCCAAGCATCGTGCCACGGTGGACACTGGGGGAATTGCCACCCAAAGTGGTACCGACCCTATTCTTAGTTTTTCGGTAAAGTCACGTAGGTAAAAAATTAAAATTAATAAAGTAAATTTAAAATAAAATAAAAATCACGACGTTTCGGAGGCAACACAAGCTTCCGTCTTCAGGTGGAACCGTCACAGCACGATAGCTGTATCAAGTGAGAGAAATTCCAAGAACACACAAACTAGGTGCGGATGATGTTTACACAACAAAGGCCCATTCCTAACAGCGTGCTTCAGCCGCACTGAACCTCACAAAAATAATATTCAGGGCCTACCTTGGCTCCTTCCACCCTCAACCAGTATATATACAAATACTGTGTTCTTGGAATTTTTCTCACTTGATACAGCTATCGTGCTGTGACGGTTCCACCTGAAGACGGAAGCTTGTGTTGCCTCCGAAACGTCGTGATTTTTATTTTATTTTTATTTAACTTTTATTAATTTAAATTTTTTACCTACGTGACTTTACCGAAAAAACCTAAGAATGAATCCTTGCAGTCACGAAAGCTTCAAATCTAGAATTGGTACCGACCACCAACCGCATTGGCACACGCGCTGGCAGGGCACGCGCGCGTGCCAAGCCGACCCCAGCAATGGCACCGGATAGCGCCGCAAACTCGACTCGGTGGCAACTCTCGCGCCGGACAGCCAGGGGAGGCTGGGCTCGACTCCCGCGTGGGGTGTGCACGTTCTCGCCGCGGCATTGCTGCAGATTCTCCAGTGTCCTCCTCCCACGGTTAAATAAAAACGCACGCGCCGCGCGCTGTAACCGCTACTGAACCACACACCGCCAAGGTTAGTTAACTCGGTTGGGGTCACGCACGCTCACTCTCGCTCGCGCAGCAGCAGCGGCGGCGGTGGCATCACCCGCCCACCTGACTGAGAAAAACTTGGCAGGACCCTCCTGCAAAAGAGTCTTGAGACTCGGCGAGGCTTTACTGGGTAAGCGAGAGGTGCAATGACGACAACAACAACAACGACAACAACGCGACACGCGCTTCTGCGCCAGACTCGATATCGGCACGAGGTCTCCGCCTTCATCGTCCGCCACCGAGCGCGAGGCCCGGGTCCAACGGAGACGCGGAGAGGTGGCTGGGCTCTCCGTGGATACATGGGGGGGGGGGGGGGGTGGCGGTGGTGATGCCCGCCAGGCCCGTGGTGGAACGTGGTGCGCTCAACACGCGTGTCGCTACCGAGCGACAGCGAACCGCTCGTTAAATAAGGTAAGAAGGGTGCAACGGTTCCACCGCCGTGCCGCGGCCTCCCTTCCCCTCCCTCCCCCTGCCCCCCTCCCCTGCACCCCCCCGCCCCCCCCCGCCGCACCCCCCTCCCACCACCACCACCACCACTCAACTCCCGCCGTGGCGACATCGCTCAGCTACCTGGATTGAGGATCGCGATTCATTTAGGAGAATGGGTTGTGCGTGCTGTTTCTTCTTCTTCTACTTAACGTTGCGGTGAGCGGTGGCGCCTCGAGTGACGCGAAGCCGCGGCTCACGATCCAGGGTCGGCACCGCTCGGCGTCGCGAGCGAACGGCACCCACGGCGCAGTCAGAGCGTCTCCCACGGTTCCAGCGGGCACCGCGCGGGCGGAGGGAGGGGGGGTGCTGCGGCGGCTTCTATCCCTTAACGACGGTCCCGAGCCAGCGGTGTCAACTCCACATTCACACGGCGGGGGGCCCAGTCCATCCGTATTCTCACCACCGCCGCCGCCTTCCGGCAAAGTTCGTTGCGCGGGCTCCCTGGCCCAGGGCTCGAACTCGCGACCTTCCGACCGCAGCTCGCGCCCCTCTGTGCCCCCGACGCAGTCACACGCGCTCCTTGATGCGCTCCATGTAGTTCCGGAAGGCGTCGGGCTCCCGCAGTCCCATGTCGCGGCACACCCACTCCAGGTCCTCCGCGCTCGCGCCCACGGCCGGCGGGGACGGCGGCGGTCGCGGCGGCGGCAGCGGCGGCGACGCCGATGGCGCCGCCGCCGCGTCCGGCGCTCCGGCCGCGAACGTCGTGAACTTTACCCTCTTGCGCTTGGACGTCGGCGAGTTGAGCGAGGCTTCCGCGACGCCGTTACCGACGCCGCCGCCGCCGGCATCGGCGCCGTCGCCGCCGCCCGGTCCGAGCGGCGCCGCGTCGGAGCGGCCGCCACGGCCGGGGGGGCCGCCGCCGTCGGTGGGCGTCACGTCGGTGGGCGTGGGCGAGCGCGGCTGCGGCTGGTTGAGCCAAACCCAGTCGTGCGGGCGGCGAGGCTTGGCGCCGGACGGGCAGCGCTCACTGCCGTTGGCGGTCGCCCCCCCCGCCGCCGCGGGGCCGCCCGCCCCGTGCGCCTTCTTGCCGCCGGCGCCGCGGTAGCGCAGGGCGAAGGTCAAGCAGTTGACGAGGAAGACGGCGATGGCGAGGCAGAAGACGGCGAGCAGCGCGTACATCCCGATCTCCAGGTCGGTGAGGGAGCGCGGCGACGGTGGCGGCGGCACCTCGGTGCGCACCGCGTCGTTCCCCAGTTCGTTGTCGTCGTCGTCGTCGTCCTCCGACGTCATCACGGCCTCCCGCTGCTCGTCCGGCTCCTCCTCCTCGTCCTCGTCGTCGTCGTCGCCACGCTCGCGGCTGCGCGGTGTCCCCGGGAAGCTCCTCTCCAAGTCGACGTCGTCGGGGATGCCGCGGAATCGCTCGTCGCTGCTCGTCGTCACCGCCACCATCGTCGTCGTCGTCGCAGTCGACCCCGCGGAGGAGGAGGCGTCAGCGACCCCGCGGCTGTTCTCATCGCCCTCATCCGACGCCACGGGGAGGCCCGGTGGTGGAGACGATATCGGAGGCGGCGGAGGCCGTCTGTCGCCGCCACGCGGATCGCCGTCAGCGTCGCTGCCGTAATCTCCGAAGTCGTCGCCGGCGGCGGCAGCACCGAACTTGACGTTGACGGCGCAGGTGCTCGCCGCCACGACGCCGCTCCTGCGCTTCGACTTCTGGCAGACGTCCGGCACGCCGAGCTCGGCGCGCAGGAGGTCGCCGCGGCCCTCGCCCTCGGCCGTCACCGTCGGACCCACCCAGGGGTCACCGTCGCCCCGGCCCCCCCGGGGAGCCGGAGCGCGCACGGAGACCACGGACTCGTCGAGCGACGTGAGCGTCAGCGAGAAGGAGCCCGGGTCGTAGATGTCGAGCGGGGCGGCCGTGTCATCGCTGAACTCGAGCCACGCGTTCAGCACCGCCTCCTGGGCAGCGCACGCAGCAAGGTCAGAGGTCACCCGAGGAGGAGCCTCAACAGACTGAGGGGGCGAGCGCTGTCAGCGAGTGGCACCTAATGAAGGCCGGTGTGGCACACGACGGGGGGTGAGGTGGTCAGCACCACGCTCGGCCGCCTTTGTCTCCCCAGTGGCGATGTTTACACATCGTACCAGGTACTCATTTGAGGCTGAGCTTACCTAGGCGAGGTCTAGGACCGGTTCAGATAATCGTCACTGGCATTGGCTGCGAGCGGAAATCGAACTCGGGTCGCCGGCTTGTATGTACGATGTAGCCAACCGTGCTGACCGGAGGTGCAGGGGAAGGACAACGAACTACACACAAAAATAATAGAGTTTTCAATCTAAATGATTTAAAAGTGCATAGCTCCAGTGGCTTCCTAATATCGCAAAGAAGAGCGTTCCAGACGGCCGCGAAGCGCATCTGAAAGCTCGCCATGTGGTGACCGTCTTTGTTCGACCGCCAGCCAAAACCTGCTCCTGCTGCTTCTGCGAGGATGAGTTCACGTGATGGTTTATCCAAGCGTGAGTGAGCGAGCATCTGTGAGCGAGCATTTGTTAGCGAGCGTGAGTTTGTGAGCGCGTTTGTAAGTGTCTTTGTGAGCAAGTGAGCGTGCATTTGTGAGTGTGTGTTTGTGAGTGTGTGTTGTTGTTGGTTGTTTGACTTGCATCCCACTGGGATTTTTGCACACAGCGTTGGTGTACGGTGTTTTTTTCCGCAAAATGTTGCTGTCTTTTCTTGGATTTTCTGTTTGCACTCAATCACATATTCACTTTAAGATGTTTTTGTTCATGTTTTTGTTTTTTGTTTGTTGCGGTTGCAACCGATTCAAGAGCCGAATGGCTCACAGGGCTATACCTTTTAACTTGTGAGCGTTCGCTTGTAAGCGAGCGCGCGTTTGTGAGCGTGTTTGTAAGTGTCTTTGTGAGCAAGTGAGCGTGCATTTGTGAGTGTGTGTTTGTGAGTGTGTGTTTGTGAGCGTTCGCTTGTAAGCGAGCGCGTGTTTGAGCAATCGAGCGAGCGAGCAGACCGGACCTGCTTGTGGGCGTGCAGGCGCTGTGCGGCGACGCTGGCGAGCACGGCGGGCAGTGGGCCCGGCGCGGCGCCCACGGTGAGCGAGAGGCCGCCCACCAGGAGGAGACGCAGCGCAGCGAGCGCCACGCGCTCCTCCAGCACGGACAGCGGCGCCTCGCCGTGCACGCCCTCCGACAGCGGCGACACCACCTGCACGCACGCGGAGAGCGGCACGCGTGCGGAGACACGCGTAGAGTGACACAGGTAGAGACACGTGCAGAGACACACGCAGAGACACACGCAGAGACAGACGCAGAGACACGCGTAGAGTGCCACACGCAGAGACGCGCACACACAGAGACACGCGTAAAGTGATTACGCGCGTAGATTGACACACGCAGAGATACGCGCAGAGACACGCAGAAACACGCGGTGAGTGACACATGCGCAGAGACACACGCACACGTAGAGACACACACACACACAGAGACACGCGTAAAGTGATACGCGCGCAGAGACGCGCGTAGATTGACACGCGTGCAGAGACACGCACACACAAACGTAGAGACACACACACAAGTCGAAACACACACGCACACGTAGAGAGACACACACGCACACGTAGAGACACACACACACGCACATATACATGTCTAGACACACACGTAGACACACGCATACATAGAGACACACATACACACACACGTAGAGACACACACACACACAAGTCGAGATACACACGCACACACACACGCGTGACCACGCGCGTGCCCACGAGTGGCGATGTTGCCCAAGAGGCCGCGGGCGGCGCGTCACCTGCACGGCGGTGACTCCGGCCTCCCGGGCGATCACCACGAGGCCCGGCTGCTGCCGCACCTCGGCCACGGCCGGATTGGCGACCCGCACCAGGCCGGCGCGCGCCACCACCTCGCTCACGTCCAGCAGCCAGTCGGGCCCCAGCATGGGCGTGCGCAGGCCCGAGCCCTCCGAGGCCTCGGCCTCAAAGCGGGCGAGCACGCGCACCGTGGCACGCTGGGAGAGCAGCGTGCAGCCACGGCCACGTCGCTCCTCCGCCTCATCGGTGGCGTCGGCCCCACCGCCGGCCCCACCCCCGGCCCCACCCCCGGCCCCACC